GTTATTTGGTAATTTCTGAAATTGATTTATTTAATATTTGTTTAATGTGTGTTAAATTTGTTAATTGTCTGAAATAAATTCATTCATTGATTCAATCCAGTTTTTTAGTTATACTTTACCTAAGTAGCCTTACAGATGGTTAAAAGTGTTTTTGCACAGTCCTAACTTTGAGTGTGTAATAAATTATTTAAAATAATAAAAAGAAAAGGTACTGAAACCTATTCTGGTATTTGTCTATGCATCACTCCATGCTAAGTTACAGTTTTTTCTGAATGCTTAAACACAACCTTGATTCTTATAGCACAATTTCTAAAACTATTAATACTTATAGCAAATCCACTCACTGAGTTCACAAAACTAAAAGAACAAAAGACTGCTTTGCACTCAATTTGCAATTTTGTAACACACACTTTGCACAACTGTAGGCACAATTCACCGCACAGCACTCTTTGTGGAACTGTAAACACAACTCAATGAAGCACTAAACAGATGCTGAAAACAGTACTGGTATTTCGCACAGCAAAAGTGAGGGGGGGGGGCACAAAACTCAATCTCGCCTAGGGCAACCAAAGGGCTAGAACCGGCCCTGCTGAGCACCGATTCCTGAACAAAACTGTTTCCATACATTGGAGATTAATTGTGGTCCAGAATCAGAGAGGATGTGTAGAGACATGTTTTACCAGGAATACAACAAGTTGGAATGCAGTTTTCTGTGGGGTTAAAGATGGGAGGCTTTGGAAAAACAGTCAATAATAGTGAGAACCTTGTGAAACCGCGATTCTGAAAACAGTAACGTCGTCGATGGAACTGAGTTGGGCAGCAGGATGGCTTGAGAATGAATCATTGAAGTGTGAGCAGAGTTCGATCTGAGGTGGAAATCAGAGAAGGTGATTGTTGGGAGGCTGCCAGCTGGCATGAATGCACGGCTATTATTTCTAAAACACTTGAATCTGGTCGTGAGAAAGCGATCAATCTCTGGAGACTGAATCCAGGAACACAGGGATAACCTGAGAGGGAGACCACAAAGACAAGGTGAGAAAATTTGCTGGAAGGAAGAAACACTGGAGACAAAAGGCTGGCTAGCAGCAGACCACACTGATAAACACTGGCAAAAAAAGGCTGGCATCCAAACCCTTTTAAGCCTCCACATAATGAGCCACACCTGTGAATCCTCAGCCAGTCCTCCTCTCAGAGTCCACCTGAGGAGAATGAAGGAAAAAGGAGCCCAAAAACAGAGGGAGGACTCCCAGGCCCCAACAGCCCTGGCTGTCACATGATTTGTTTGAGTGTGCTAAATCAGGTTATTGTCAATCAAAATGTCCATCATTGCCTACACCAGGGGTAACCAATTAAAAATCTTTGGGGTTCAAATAAAGAAAATCATCAACTAGTAAAGGTCCAGAGACATTTTTAATTATAATCTGTTACTTTAAACAAAATTTAACACTTAAATAAAATTATGTGTTCATGCATCCATGTTATCCATTGACTTTTTAAATAAAAAAAAATATAAAAAAAAAATAAATAGAAAATGTTTTCCATTTTAAAATCTAAATTGTCCTTTGAAGTAGAGAACAACAATCTTTCAGTATGGTATATAGACAATTTCCTGATTTAAATATATATATATATATATAAAAAATCTGAATTGATAGTTTATTTCTTTTTTTATGGCTTAATGAGAGAAGTGGGCTTTACGCTGCCCTGCAGGGCTTAAATGGTGACAGTCATTCTCAAGCACATATCAAGGTGCTCATTCTGAGCCTGGATCGATATTTATTTTTGATTCTGTTCATGGTGGAGAATCCTGCTTCACAGCAGCAGGTTGAGCCAAACATACTCAAAATGTGCAGGGTGATCTTTGAGCACACCATTTCACTATTCTTTTCACCATTTCACTGCAGTTCTTCCAGCAGTGCACATTTTCTCTGCTCTCGTTTTTTTCATCATCTTCTCCTTCTTTCCAATCGCCCGGCTATCATCAGGTTCTCCAACCTGAGCTGTGGCTCTCTGCTGCTTCCCAAGAGCTACCATGGGGTCTGCCACACACATTTTTTCAGTTTAGGTCAGCCTTATCTTGGTAGATTTGGTATTGCACCCACTCTTGTTTTTTTCCCAGTGATGCCCTATACAGTGCTCTGTTAACAATATCCAAGGTTTAAGATATTGCGTTAAAATCTGACGTCTCCACCTTTATCTCTAACGTGTCTGTTGAATTCGAAATCGAACAATTCTTTCATTTTTACGATGCAACAAAATTAAAAACCTTGATGTATTGATTCTGGTTTTCTTGCCACAGCAACGCAGGAAGGAGATGGTATCGCCCAGATGGCTCTAGATGTTTGAAGGCAGCTCAAGACTTGGAAACCACACTGTGTTCAATGATAACAAGCCAAGGCCGTGCCATCATATGTTTCCATATCGAGTATCACTCTGGCCATTTTCTTCTGAAAGCGCTTTTCTTTTTGTCTCCTGCTGCAGAGGGCTCATTTCTTGCAACTTTGATCGACAAAAATTATTTGTTCCCTTCCTGCCTCTAGATTACAAACACGTGGTCCGGTCAAGAATCATTCAACTGAACCACGATGTGTCGAAAAAAGGGCATCAGAGATCTCCTCTACTTCCCTGAATTTGAGAGAACTTTCTCTGTCGAAAGCTACAAAATAATGGAGGACTGGACTTCAATAGATAATATGAATGTCTCAAGGACATGAGGATTAGAGAGCGACTGATATTAAAGCTTTTTTCTTGCATCGGCTGATACATGGATGCATTCGCCAATTGATTTGTGCTTTCAGCGGCCTTGAGTTCACGTGAAGCGCATGCATTATTGCTCCGTTTATTTACCACCCACTTTGTTTGATTTGTTGATAAATGTTTGTGTTTTTGTCTACATGAAAAACTTGAGAGACATTTAGTTATATATGTGTTATTTTTTCTTATTATGTAAATGCAGAAAGAAAAAGGAGCATTGGCCTCATGGATAGGCCTCCAAAAAACGTCAACACATATCAGAGATCGGTTAGACCAGGGGTTTAGAAACCTCAAGATCTACTGTCCTACAGTCCTTAGATGTATCCCTGGTCCAACACAGATGAATCAAATGAGTGGCCCATTGCTATACCTCTTTCCAAACTGGATGGCATGCTGAAGAGATAACTTATTCATTTGAAGGAGCTCTGTAGGAATAAAATATGTATTTGTTGTGGCCATTTATGCAAAATTTTTGCAGTTTGTTATTTCTACAAATTTAGTTTTTTGTCTTTTGGTATATAAAATATATTTAAGTTAATTTAGAACCATAATGTGTTGTTTATTTTTTACATTTGGAATAGTTTGGAGTAAGTTCTTAATTGTTTGACCCTCCCATTAATTTGAGTGATTAGGAGCACACCAGGTGTTGGAGGATGTTTGGTAAAATGTCTAGTGTGGACGGGAGGTTTTGAAAAATAATTTTTTGACCACTTTTTTGGAAGCTTAAAACATTAAATTTCGTTTCTACTAAGTTCAAAGACACTTGAAGTATTTTTTATATATATATATATTTTTTTTTTTTGCTTTTTAAGTCAAGCTGGAAGTGTGTACAAAAACAAAATCACCTGTTACCACCCACGGCCTTCATTGGAAACTTTGGTATTCTATTTTTGTTGGAACAGAAGGCCGCGACAGTATTAAAGGGATTTATTTTCCACTGTCTTTGAACACAAAAGGAAAAGGTCTTTGTGTAGGCTCAGTGTTTCCCAATCAGAGATCAGAATTGTGTTTGACCTACTGTTTTTACAAATCCCTGTTAAAACACCAGGCTTTATAGGGCTGCACTATACTTTTTAAATTAATTATAATCATATTGTTGGTATATTTACATTCTGTCCCTCTGATTTAGAAATTTACCGTCAGCCTCTAAGTAGTAAAAGTCAAAGAAAAAAAATGTTTTCAGTCAACATTGTTTTAAAATACCGTAGTAAAACCCTGAAAAACTAATATTCAAAATCAAAGAAAATATTTATTAAAAACATTTTTTTCCTACAGGTTTTTTTTTTTTGCTTCAAATGATACCAGACTGTGCTTTATTGCCTAATCTTTTGGGGGGACACGGCCTCCCACTGTGTATCCAGCAGAAGTGTCAGAAGTAATAATATATATTACTAAAGTATAAATCCTACTGTTTAAAAACAATTTTGTAGAAGTAAGAGTGTTAACTGAAACGTTTTACTCAAGCAAAAGTGTAAAAGTACAATTTTTAAAACTACTTAAAGTATAAAAGTAATGCAGGAAAAAATGTAGGGCAGATGCTTTACACCTCATATTGGTTACTGTACCACCCTATTAAAGGAACTTTTTTCTACCATTCTGGATGATAAGTTCCTCATACTTCATTTTTGTGGTTTTATAACTAATGGTAGCAGTGTCAAATTTAACTTTACATCATCTGGAAAACTGTTTATTTTGGTATGAGGCGAATAAGAATAAGTCCAATCACAAAGATATTGTCTGGATGAACAATTTATTTTTTATTTTATTTTTTTTTTTATACTAACAGGCCATGACTAAAATGAAAACATAACTAATGGGTCTATTGTTATTTATCTATTTATTATTATTTATCGATCTATTTCTATTTTTGAGTCTATTTTTCAAATGTAAGGAGTAGAAAGTAGAGATAACTGCAAAAAAAAATTGAGGAGTAGAAGCAAAAGTCGCCCAAAAAAATAATTACTCCAGTAAAGTATACATAGCCAAATTTTCTACTCAAGTAAAGTAACAAAGTATTTGTTCTTTGTTACTTGACACCTCGTGTTTTCCAAAAGTGTGAAAGTAAGTGGTCTTTTGATGATCTCCTCCAATAAGATTTAATTATCAATTCTGAAAACAAGGGATACATATAGCAGTCAATTATGCCTGTTAATCTTTTTTATTTCTTAACTTCGGGGTTTCAGATTAAAACAGGAAACTGTGCGCCCCTTCAAAGTAAAACCATGTGAGCTCCCTTAAAGATGAAGAAGAACCGCCACCTTTGGACCATGATGTCATGAACTTGACAAACAACCCAGTTCCCCACCGAGACATTTCGCCATAATAGTTTGCGCCTCTCTGTTTAAATACGACGTAACTTTTACTGAAATGCAGCCGAATAAGCGGCACGTTCTGCTTCTCTGGCTGCTTCTCTGCTCCAGTGTGGCAGAGGCGCTGGAGCCCATCAGCACCACCATCGCTGTGGGAATGGCTGCGGCTCTCACCGGGATTTTAGCGAGATACCAGAACATATTCTTCTATTTCCACGAGTGCTGCCGACCCGAATGGATATCCTTCAATAAAACAAGTAAGCAAGCAAACAAACACTACAGCCGCGACGACTGCCATACATAGCCGTTATTTTTATGTGTTTAACACTTGTAAGCTTCAAGTTTCAACCATTCTGAAACCATTAGGTGTTTTGAACGTACCTCGAAATCACGTGACCGTTACGTACGCGGAAACACAGCAAACCAAGCTAGTTCTCTTTTCTGCAGGTTTACCGCGGTTTACTTTTGGCCGTTGGTTATTAAGAAACGGCTCATGTTAAAGACAAACCGCCGGATCTGACAATGAAAGTGGCGCATATATGTTTCTGGTTCCATGTCTCTTTGACAGCCAGCGGGCTGGTTAACGCCTTCGATCCGTTCACAACAACATTGGTAGTCGGTCTCGGGGCTACGCTGGGCCGGACGATCTACAAATACTTCCAGGAGAATTGCGATCAGAAATGGATAGCTTATAACACAACAGGTGAGGTTGGAAGAAAACTAAAACCCTGAAATGTTTGTATTTGTTCAGCTGCGTCTTCTTGTGGCACATGTGGCAACGTTTCTACATGCTGTAGGTAACAACTGTAGACACATCTTGATTCATCTGATCATATTTAATGATCCTCGACAAGATATGTTTTTATGATTGAATTTACAGCTTAAGATTATAGAATACACGTTTTGACCATTAACTTTAAAAAACAACGACCAATATCTCGTTTGGTTTGTGTATTAAGGTGTACTGCTTGTAAGGGTGCCTGCTATGGACATGCATAACTCATTTATTTGATTGTATCAGATTGTTGATTGCTATTGTGACACATGGGGTTAGATGCTCCCATCTACTCTAATCAGATAAATTTCAAAAAGTTTTCATTAAAAAAAAAAAAAAAAAACAGCAGCACACATAAACACATCTTTGAGTTCAGCATCCTGGCAACCCTAGCAACCATATAAGATGCCCTCTTATTTAATATTTGATTTCATGCTGTTTTTCTTAGTGTTTTCATCACTTCGGCATTTATTCAGATTTCAAAATGATCTTAACATAAAAATACAGCAAAAGTGGGTTTTGCTGTACATCAAGTCTGACTTTTTTTAGGTCAAAGGTCAGCCGTGGTAGCACTTCGAATTACCCTGTACCAAAGACGCAGATGTCATGTTTAGGGGTGTTACCAACGGTTATTTTGTCAAATTAGATTCGGACTTTGACTAGGCCATTTAAACTGCACAACATCTCTGGTCTTTAAAGGTGCTGTTGGAGATCTTGCAAAAACGGTTCCAGCAAGGTATATTTTTGAACATACACAACCATGCCTCTCCCTTCAGACCACCCCTTGAAACCACGCCTTCAAAACACATGAAGGTGCATGCTGTCTGCAGCGCATCTAGAGCAGCCAGAGCAGCACTGATGATGCAGAGCACTATGATTACTCCTCTGAAACAGTTTATTATCGCCTAAATTAACGTAAAAGGCCGAAATCTGCCGGCATTACATGTTTGCTTTTATTATCATGGTGCCAGCAGTTTGGATTACAGACATAAAAAAGGCCTTCCAGCTCCATTCAACATAGGCTGCTGTTGAATGGGTTTCCTAGTGACAGCGTCTGAGCGGCTTCAACTGAAATGATATTTGAAGGCAGGATGGTTATCTGGATGAACTGACTGCACTGGCGATGTTTTCAGTTGGATTTTCTCACTTCAAAATAAATTCAAACTACTTTTTACTCACTGATTACAGCAAATATAGCTGCCATTGTTACAGGCAAAGAAAGGATAGGGTAGCTCCACCCAACGTGCATCAGACCCACTTTTACACAGCGCAGCAGATGGAGAAGAAAAGGTCTCATCAGCCGCATTAAGCTTGTAATGCTTCAGAATTAAGCTTGTAGAAGCATAAAAAATGAAGCAGCACGAGCATTTTTTGCTGCTCTTGCTGCTTTAGGTGTGAATATGGTGACGAGACGTCCTCTTTTATCGGACATGCACTACTTTTAATACCTAAAAAATGTCTGGGGGGAATTTCAAAATCCTCCAGGATTTTGGTCGACCCCGGGGCTGCCGGTGTCCAGGCTAAAAAAAAGTGTCCTCCTTTTCAGAAACCGAACCCGAATCTGGTCACCATAGGTGTGCAAGTAGCATAACACTGGCGTCCTGCATGAGCATTGGGGGTTCAATTAGTTCCAACCCAGTCTCATGGGAAAATGTACCCCCACTACGTTGGTCCACACTGCAAAACGTAGTGGAGGTACATTAATGGCCATTTTTTTGTGGTACTGTTACGTTTCTTCTGCCTATACGCTTTCTATTGTTTTACGTCCTAGTCACGTGACTTTCAAGATTCCAGCTGGGAGAAGAAAAAAAATATATATATGGCCGACATTCGCTCATTGTTTTGTGGAAAGATTAATAACTTGAGTTTGTTTTTGCATTAAAATGAGTTTTGATTACATTTCTAGTGAGAAATGTATAGTTTGTTGGCAGAATATTTACTCAGGGAATGTACATATTCACTTGCTTGTTCGTTTCTTGCAAAGATTTTTCAAGATAATGTGAAACTGTAACATTTTGGTATAAACATGGCTGAGATTTCTCTAACTTTTAGTGGGAAAATCAATCATTTCAATCAGTTTCTGCATTTAAATGGGTTTTGATTACATTTATAGCGAGAAGTGTAGGGTTTATTTACATAATATTTACTTAGTGAACATACATAATCACCCGCTTGCTAGTTTTTGCTACGTTTTTCGGATCTCGTCAGGATTATGTGAAATTGCAACGTTTTGGCTGCTACCCAATCGCCTAGCATTTAGCTGCCGCCCCGATTCAACATTGAATTCTTTGTGATTTAACTCCATCTGACGGATCAAACCCTCGCCACTGCGTGCGTTGCGTCTGAGGTTGATTTTCAGATCAATGCATTACGTCGTGGCATACGGGAGAAACTAATTAAACTAGTTAAAAAAAGGATCATGGGTTAAGATCGGATGTGTTTTATTTGGAAATCTACCGGATCCTTTGTGCAATTAACTTCCTGTTTGGTGCGATCTCATTGATGGGTTTTGACCAGATTTTGACCAAAGAGGAACAAAAAAACAAAACAAAAACAATTTAAATACACAACCAGCATATCTGGAATCAATGACAGAGAGCATACATAATCACCCGCTTGCTAGTTTTTGCTACGGTTTTTCGGATCTCGTCAGGATTATGTGAAATTGCAACGTTTTGGCTGCTACCCATCGCCTAGCATTTAGCTTCCGCCCCGATTCAACATTGAATTCTTTGTGATTTAACTCCATCTGACGGATCAAACCCTCGCCACTGCGTGCGTTGCGTCTGAGGTTGATTTTCAGATCAATGCATTACGTCGTGGCATACGGGAGAAACTAATTAAACTAGTTTAAAAAAAGGATCATGGGTTAAGATCGGATGTGTTTTATTTGGAAATCTACCGGATCCTTTGTGCAATTAACTTCCTGTTTGGTGCGATCTCATTGATGGGTTTTGACCAGATTTTGACCAAAGAGGAACTAAAAAAAACAAAAAACAATTTGAATACACAACCAGCATATCTGGAATCAGTGACAGAGAGCGACTGGGACCAGAAGTTTATTAATTTCTCCCCACTGATTTCCATTCAAAATGTTTTCGCTCCCACCGGGCTCTAGGGAAGGGGCGTGCATACCGCCACCTACTGTTCATGAGTGTGTAGCAACATTGTTTTACATCTATTAAATTCTATTTTTTAATTTTGTATTCTGAAGATAAATAAATAATGCTTTCCTTAATCTATAAATATCTTTTATATTTCCTTTATTTCCCAATAATCCTTTAAGACTCCATTCTTGGCCTGTCCTCTTTTCAATTTCTTCCTTTCAGGTCAAGATGTTTTAAAGTTCATCAATACGTGTTCTATATTTTCTATCTCTCCACATCCTTCACATTTATCATTATTTTTCCTCCCTATTAAGTATAAATTGTCATTTAAATAAGTATGACCTACTCTTAATCTGATCATTATTATTTCTTCCCTTCGGTTTCTCTCATTAATATTTCTATTTAATACTGACTTTTGTACTTTATATAACCTTCTTCCTTTTTATCTTCATTCCACCTTTTTTTTTTTGCCATTTTTCAATTTCTTTCCTCTTAATAAATGATTTTCCTTCCCCTTTCCCTAAAGGAATTGTAATTGTTATTTGTCTACTTTTCATTCCACCTAACTTTCCATTAATTAGCTTGAAAACAGCACTTTGTAGGCACCCAGTTTCTCTAACAATGGCCCTTTTTGGGTTACCCTCCATGCATTGGGTGTCAGTTCAGTGGCAGTTCCAGAACATTTTCATAGGGTTGACCAGGCAGCACAATAATGTGCATGTGGCCAAAAAGTAATAGGGATCAAATTCGGTTCAGAGTCAAGCTATTGGGATCAGGCATCAGGTTCAATTTGCATATTTTCTTTGCCAAAACAAGGATTTGTTGGGCTACTGTAATTTTGAATTGAAAAACGTCCTGAATGGGAAGTCTTCAAACTTGAAAAACAAAGTCCAAAGTTTTTTTTTTTTTTTTTTTGTTTTTTTTTTTTTTTTGGAATGATTATGACCTGGATGTCTAAGAATCTTCACCAGCTTATCAGGGAAATGAATGCCCACAATGTCTATATTCTCCAAAAGAGAATAACAGAACAGACCTTCATGAGGCCCTTGTTAAAGCTATGCATATATTTATGCATCTATGCTCTTCAAGTAACTTTCTGGTTCGACGCAACATTTACATTAAATGGGTTGAGAGGTTGTTCTTTACCAGTAAATACAGATTCCCAGATGACTGCCGATACAAACTCTCCCCTATAAAACCTAAAACTAATTCTTATAAGAGAGTAAAATCTGTATTAGTCTTCATTAAATGTAGCATATTGTTGTACATAATCGATTGCTTTATTTTTGGTGTCAGCTTTTGGTCAATATGCTAACCTTAAAAGGTCAAAGTGGGAAAATGTAGTAGTAGTAGACAAATTAGCAATTAGAGGAGGCAATAACAATTACAATTCCTTTAGGGAAAGGGGAAGGAAAATCATTTATTAAGAGGAAAGAAATTGAAAAATGGCAAAAAAGGTGGAATGAAGATAAAAAGGAAGAAGGTTATATAAAGTACAAAAGTCAGTATTAAATAGAAATATTAATGAGAGAAACCGAAGGGAAGAAATAATAATGATCAGATTAAGAGTAGGTCATACTTATTTAAATGACAATTTATACTTAATAGGGAGAAAAAATAATGATAAATGTGAAGGATGTGGAGAGATAGAAAATATAGAACACGTATTGATGAACTTTAAAACATCTGGACCTGAAAGGAAGAAATTGAAAAGAGTTGAAAGGACAGGCCAAGAATGGAGTCTTAAAGGATTATTGGGAAATAAAGGAAATATAAAAGATATTAATAGATTAAGGAAAGCATTATTTATTTATCTTCAGAATACAAAATTAAAAAATAGAATTTAATAGATGTAAAACAATGTTGCTACACACTCAGTAACAGTAGGTGGCGGTATGCCCGCCCCTTCCCTAGAGCTCGGTGGGATCGAAAACATTTTGAATGGAAATCAGTGGGGAGAAATTAATAAACTTCTGGTCCCAGTCGCTCTCTGTCACTGATTCCAGATATGCTGGTTGTGTATTCAAATTGTTTTTTGTTTTTTTTAGTTCCTCTTTGGTCAAAATCTGGTCAAAATCCATCAATGAGATCGCACCAAACAGGAAGTTAATTGCACAAAGGATCCGGTAGATTTCCAAATAAAACACATCCGATCTTAACCCATGATCCTTTTTTTAACTAGTTTAATTAGTTTCTCCCGTATGCCACGACGTAATGCATTGATCTGAAAATCAACCTCAGACGCAACGCACGCAGTGGCGAGGGTTTGATCCGTCAGATGGAGTTAAATCACAAAGAATTCAATGTTGAATCGGGGCGGCAGCTAAATGCTAGGCGATTGGGTAGCAGCCAAAACGTTGCAATTTCACATAATCCTGACGAGATCCGAAAAACGTAGCAAAAACTAGCAAGCGGGTGATTATGTATGTTCACTAAGTAAATATTATGTAAATAAACCCTACACTTCTCGCTATAAATGTAATCAAAACCCATTTAAATGCAGAAACTGATTGAAATTATTGATTTTCCCACTAAAAGTTAGACAAATCTCAGCCATGTTTATACCAAAACGTTACAGTTTCACATTATCTTGAAAAATCTTTGCAAGAAACGAACAAGCAAGTGAATATGTACATTCCCTGAGTAAATATTCTGGCAACAAACTATACATTTCTCACTAGAAATGTAATCAAAACTCATTTTAATGCAAAAACAAACTCAAGTTATTAATCTTTCCACAAAAAAATGAGCGAATGTCGGCCATCTATATATATTTTTTTCTTCTCCCAGCTGGAATCTTGAAAGTCACGTGACTAGGACGTAAAACAATAGAAAGCGTATAGGCAGAAGAAACGTAACAGTACCACAAAAAAATGGCCATTAATGTACCTCCACTACGTTTTGCAGTGTGGACCAACGTAGTGGGGGTACATTTTCCCATGAGACTGGGTTGTTAGTTCATGTGTCAGGGTACGCGCACAGGGGGGAGGGACAAGCAGACGTGTCAGGAACCAATCGTGTGATTGGTTGGGGTTATTCAGTGATTTCTCACTGGGACCATTTATTTTAGTTTCATTTCCAGACCTTCTATTTTACTGCTTGCTACACGACTGTGGTGAGATCTTTAAGCCACATGGTAAAAAATGTATTAGAAAAGATCTCCTACTGCACCTTTAAGGAATAGTGTCCTGTAACCTTTGCATCTTTCCCTGGACCAGCACTCCTGAATAATAAGTGGCCGTTGCTCCATCATTGTGCAGTTCTAAGGACACTGACCCTGAAAGGCTGGAATTTAAACCAGCCTTTATTGTAGCTCTGATTTCATGTGTAGGATCATCATTGTTATCACTTACAATGCAGATTTTATCAAATAGGAATCACATCAAGAATGAAGGGAAACAAATTTGTGGGATCCCTACCAACCCTAGGTCACACGTTTATTGGTTTTCAGCCGCTATCCCTCCTGATGACCTTTATTTGTACATTTTCCAGGGCTGAAGAGCGACCTGGACAGCAAGCTCTTCGGACAGCACATCGCGTCCCGCATAATTTTAAAAGCTGTAAACGGCTTCATGAGCAACAACAACCCGAAGAAGCCCCTGGTGCTGTCTCTTCACGGATGGACTGGCACCGGGAAGAACTTTGTGAGCAAGCTTATCGCTGAAAGCGTTTACGTTGAAGGGATGCATAGCCGCTTTGTCCACGTGTTTACTTCCACCCTTCACTTCCCACATGCAGAACAGATTGCTACCTACAAGGTGAAGAATCCCCGACATCTCTGGCTCTTCACCGTCCTGATCAGCTGCCTGACTTGTTTTTAATTTCTCGTTCACAGTCACAGTTACAGCAGTGGATTAGAGGCAACGTGACCAACTGTGAGCGCTCCATGTTCATCTTTGATGAGATGGATAAAATGCACCCAGGCTTGATTGACGGGATAAAGCCATACCTCGACTACTATGAGAAGCTGGATGGAGCTTCTTATCGGAAATCCATCTTTGTCTTCCTCAGGTAGACGATTTGCTTTGCATTTTTGGATTATTTATATTGGCCGGGTAAATGTGTGTTCTGCAAAGATTCTGTGAATCTTGTTTTTTGTTTTGTTTTCATGGTTATCTGAGAAACCGCTACTTCTGACCATAGTCTATAAAGATCGTTGAATATTTTAACACACTACTTCTAGAGATGGATGAAAAGGCCAAATCTTCTGTCATAATATATCTCTCAATTTTAGCCGACACAATATAATTTTAATTAACAAAATAAAAGCCTCAGAAAGACTAAAGAGAGCCCACAACAGAATCCTCTACAAATTGTTGACGTGTATTATTATTATTATTATTATTATTATTATTACGTGTGTTAACCCTTCCAATTTAACATTTCAGAAATATTTTCTTTAGAAAATAAACAACATAAAACCCTGTAAAAAAAATGCTCTAATTATAGACTGTTGAAAGAAAGAACCCTGAATGTTGAAATCTGTAAATCATATACAGTCGTATGTTTACATTTGTCAATGCTGCTTACCTTTTACCACTGCTGATCTTTAAAAAAAAAAAAAAAAAAAGAAAATGTCTTGAGAGCTGAACTGAACGAAATTTCTTTTTGTATCTAAATGTTTTAAAAAGTTTAAGGGGTTTAAAGAACATGGTTGGATGGTTAGAAAGGTCCATTACTTAGGGGAAAAAATGTGCAAAGAGGGGTGCGGATTCATTTAACTTCATGGAGAAAATATATTTTAAGTGATTTTATTTTTACTCAGTAATTACAGAGATTTGTATATATTTTCTATAATCCTTTTTTATATAAAACTCTAAAACAGCCCTAAAAGTCATTAGTTTATTGCATTTTAGGATTTAGATCTGGACTTAAATTAGGCAGTTGAAAGCATTTCCATTTAACTGCATATTAATGGTCATCATCACAATGGATCTGATCTCCAACGGTTTTTCCTCTTTTACTGCCCTGTATTCTGCTCCATACCTCCCTACTCTTGTTAAAGAATATATCCCCACAGCATAACACTACCTCTGCCATGTTTCACAGTAGGGGTGGCATGTTCAGGGTGAGGAGCAACTAATGATTAGTTTTCCTGCTAACAAATTCTCCCAGCTAGCTCTCTCTGCTTCCTGAGAGCTGCTGCAGTGGTTTCCAAAGTAGTTATTGATCTCCATGCTTGACTGTTCAGTTTAGGTTGGCTATGTCTCTGTAGGTTGGCTGCTGTGTGATAGATACTTCCATCTTTTCTCAGATCATGCATTGAACAGAAATCTGATTAATAGCTTGGGACTTTAGAAACTAGCCCTGCTTTAAAGATCTCCACATTGTGCTAGGTTTGATAGAGGTTTTAAGAAACTTTGAGGCCAAATGCGAATTTTGCAGCTGGAGTGAAGGTGTCATCTCTATGTAGAGGGCAGATCTGGAGCGAAGAGAGAAGGTGCCGAATTTAGGGAGAGGAAATGTGCAATTTTGGCTAAATTTGATTGCTGCCTCGCCTTCTAATTGAGCAAAGCAAAAAAATTAAAGCTTTTGTTTACATTTTTTCCAGTAAGCCGTCTCACCTAACCTCTGTTGTCAGGGTGATTTGTCTCCCAATGTGGGACAGCGAGCCCCCAAACCTGGTCACAGATTGGTGAAAGGACTGCTGAAAGCACCCATCACCCAGACCTACCCTCTGAAGGAGGAGGTGGTGGTATTCTCCATACTGGAAATCTGGTGACAGCCTTGTTCAGCTTTCAATAGTTAAAAACAGCGCTGCCAGTCTGTTTTAAATCCATTTCTGCCATGTTGAGGTGAAACCAACATCCTGCACACTCTGTGACGTAGCAGCCTTTCGACCTCTGGGCAAATTTACCTGTCATGCAAAATGCTTTCACTGGCCAGGCAAATTTCAAGGCAGACAAAACTGGTGAAATTTTCACAGTTCTCACATTCGTCGTGTACGCACCTTTAGATTGAATCTGAATGTCTCAAAGTTTAATTGTAGTTATGCTTTTGAAATGCTTCAATGGTACATTTTACATTGCAGCGGTTTGAAAGTGAAATCTAACATTATTTTGCTCTCTGTGATGCAATAACAGAGAAATATCGATGTATTATTTCTGTTTTGCTTTGCGTAGCAATGCAGGAGGAGATGGTATCATCGAAACGGCTCTAGATTTCTGGAGAGAGGGAAAACAACGAGAAGAGATCGAGCTCAAAGACCTGGAAATGGCGCTTTCTCTGTCGGTGTTCAACAATAACAAAAGTAAGGCGCTGCCTTTTCAGCGTATGCTTTTAAAAAAAATCAATTATCCCTTCGACTGTTTGTGTCTGAAAATGTTTTTCCTTTTTTTTCTGTCCCTGCAGGCGGCTTCTTTCGCTCAACTTTGATCGACAAGAACCTGGTGGATTTCTTTGTTCCCTTCCTGCCTCTGGAGTACAAACATGTGGTCCAGTGCGTCCTGGCCGAGATGAAAGCCAGAAACATTCCTCTGAACCACGATGTGGCAGACAAGGTGGCCCAAGATCTGGTCTATTTCCCTAAATCTGAGAGAGTGTTCTCTGTCAAAGGCTGTAAAACGATAGAGAGCAAGCTGGACTTCTACATATAATGTGAGCATCCGAAGGACATGAGGAAGAGTCACTACGAGCACTTTTTAAATGACAAGAACCCTGCAGACATTTGACTCCAATCAGGAGGCCAGTCTGGCTGAAGAGTTTTATGGAGGTTTCTCTGTCTGACTTTGTGGCCATCAAGATATCAGGAGGCCTTTTTCCACTTACACTGAACGCAGAGCTCAACGCCAGCTGAATAAAATCACCAAATGATTGGAAAGTGATGCTTTGTCGCTGGTTAAAGAGCCTTATCAATGTTTTTTATGCACCCAGCCTCTGATGTCTTCCTGTCAGGGGAACCTTTTCCCTTTGGAGTTGTTCTTCATCTCTGTGTTAATGTGGATGGGGCCACAGGAACTAACTGCCTTAAATTGTAATTTCCATTTTTAGTAGAAGGATTAAGCATCCAGTGCAGTTTGTTTACCATAAGCAGCCATAGTTTCTGTTGTGAGGGCAACGAGGCTGTTTAGAGAAAAGCATTTGTTAAAAAGACAAACACCTTATTTCTTCTATTTTACTGTTAAATCTTACCCAAAAAAATGCCATAACTATGAGTAAAATATGTCTGAAAGGATTTATTTTCCACTGTCTTTAAAAAACACAAAGTCTATTTGTGGGCTCAGTGTTTCCCAATCAGAGCACAGCAGTGTTTTACCCAAAGGGTAAGCACAGCCTCGGTAAAACGCCAGGATTTTGTAAAGCCGCAACATAATTATCAGAAAAAACTGCTTGGAATCGAGTCTTAAATAAATGAACTGATCTTATAAACCGTGCAGCTTGCTGTTGAATGTTTTAGGTGGCAAAGCTTTAGAAGTTTTTCATTAATATCTTGTTGAGATGGAAATATTTCCCAGTATGAACAAATTTTTTCCATCAAGATTAGCTTTCCTAACATCATGCAGCCCGAATGTATGAATCCTGAAAAATAAAGCAATAAGGAAAAGGAGAAAAAAAAGCCAGTTTAGCCTACTTTGATGATCCTTTAAATTAAACCTTTTCAACATATTGATTTGTAAAGTCTGCCCTCTTTAATTTGGCAAAGTTCCACCAACTCTTATCAGGGTTTGACAGCAGCACTCAGTGACTCCACAGATTTCTTGAACTTTAACCAAATTATAAGTCCTTTCTTTGTGAGTTTGGATGTGTCACCTCAAGGCAAACATTCAATCAAAACATGAGCTTGTTAAGTTTTACAGAAAAAAAGTTACTACAGCTTTTTATGTTTCCATTTTTCCCCCTTTTAAGTATTTTTTTAGATTATTTAAAAAAATAAAATTGTTCTCAAAAGGATTTCTTATAATTTAACATGATCCAAAACAAACAATGGTGTGTATGCGTTTTAGAGAGACTGTATTGTACTTTTAAATGGGTTGACAGAAGAATGAGCTCCAAAAGTATGTTTTCCTGTTTGACTGCCAAATATAACCTCTGAATGTGAAGGCAAACTGCTGCAGCACATAGAAAGCTCTCTGATTATAAACAAAACCTCCCTAATAATAAAGGTGATTTGTTGAAATGATGTTTAGAAACTTTCATAAGGCTGCTGGGGAAGTTGTCTAATGATCAGTTTGTGTAGAATGACCGCCAGGTGCAGCTTCATGTTGTCTAGAAGATGCAGCAGGAGGACAAAAACATCCTTATAGACAGAATTAACCCATAAGCTTATTTTTAAATAAATCTATTTTTTCATACACTGAAATAAGGAACTTTAAGACACAACTTCACCTCTGCAGCCAAGCAAGCCATGTTATTTACTCTGACTTTAAATTATGAAAACTACTTAATGTTTCTGGTTTCTTTTATAGCTTGAAATGAACATGGGTGGTAAGGAAGGCAGAAATAGGAAGTTTTAATGCTGGGAGAAAATAAATTTCTATCATACTGAAAGATTCTACCCAAAAAAACACCAGATAATACATTTTAAAAGAAATTATTTTTTTTAATGATTTAATGGGCATATGATAAAAGACATTTCTAAATCCACTTTTCTACCCTTTTAAGATAAATGTTTTTTTGTTGTTTTTTTTTTATCAAAATGGCTCATGTAGTCTGGAAAAGACTTGATTTTATGGTTTCCCAGGCCTCAATACGTAAAGAGAAAATTAAGTTTACGGTGGAAAAATGTTTCAGTTTTTCTAAAAACATTAATGTGGTCCTTTCCAACATGATTTATATCTGACATGCTTTGTCTTGGCTCACCTATAATAAATTAAAAAGGGGTCACTGAAATGTTTTCTCGTTTTCATTAAATGCTTAAATTGGGCCTAAAATGTTGAAATGTTTAGTGTCTTTTGAAACCTAACTCTAATCCCAAGGAAAAGCAAATAAAAAAAAAAAAATATCAAGCCAAACGCTGTTAAAGGTATAGTGGAGGATTTTTGTGAATTTTTGGAAATAAACGCCCTCTCCACTTAAAACAACAAAAAACATGCACAAGCCTGTACCGGCTCCCCAGAGGGAACGCCTATTGAACGCGTGCGATAGCGTGCACAAGCCTATTTCCCCTCATGCACGTTCTGTTTAAAAGTTTGCATTGATTATACAAGCTTACTTTCCAAAAGAAGATTTGCAATTTTTCCACTATGTCAGACTCACCATCGTTGATATGCCGAGAATTACCGTATATGATATTTCTTATGCATGGATGCCCTAAAATTTAGAGTTTTGGTGGACAGATAAAGTCGAATGAATGCGATTTCTACTTGTATGGAGACACGTTTGTGACGATGAATATAATCGCTGCTCAGTGGATAATAATAATTGAACTTTATTGATCTCACACTGGAGAAATTCACCTCTGCATTTGATTCATCCTTTTAGAGAGCAGTGGGCTGCCATTGCGTGGAGCCCGGGGAGCAGTGTTGGGTTAAGGGTCTTGCTCAGGGACCCAGAGTGTCAGTCAGTGGAAATTGAACTCAGAACCTCTAGATTCCAGGTGCAATGCCCTAACTTTTAGGCCACCACTCCGCATTTTCCACTTTTGCTATCAACAACATTCTATATAATTTCTGATTAAACATTTGGAATATTTTTTTTAAATTCCTTTTTGATGATATTTCAATCCGTTTTCTCATTGGTGTGTGAGAGGGGAGGTAATTCTCAGCAAGCTGTTACTTCTCACTGGTAAGTTAAAATGGGGACGAGCACGCAGGACGGCTTTATGTAAACATCACCAGAAGGATTGATACTAAGGAGAACCACTTATTTTGATGATCCACTTGGAAAAAAATATCCTCTACTAAACCTCTAGGTGTTTTCTCGCTCTACCAAACTAGTTTGATTCAGTTTGTCTGATCTGAATTAGTTGGGAAAGGAGGACAGAAGGAACTGGTCAGTTGGCAGTGAAACCCTGCCATTAACAATTTAGATAAAAATAATTCTTAAAATTTTGCTTTTTGAAGCCATTCAAGATGGCCCATCCCATTCAGCCAAATGGCAGCCAAGTTCCAGCCACTAGAGTACTTGCATATTTTTTTATTCGACTCCACCCTTTGACGGAGTTACAGGGTCTGACCAGAAGAAGGCGCTCTCACTGATGGTTCGCTCACTGAGCCTGGATCTGCTGGAGGTTTCATCCTGTTTAAAGGGAGTTTTTCCTCTCCACTGTCGCTACAAGCATGCTTAGTGTGAGGGATTGCCTTTGAGTCGATGAGTCAATGCAATCAACTGGCTTTCCTTAGATAGAAAACTATGATCTGGTGAACTGTAAAGTGCCTTGAGAGACATGTGTTGTGAATTGGCGCTATATAAATAAACTGAATTGAATTTTCTTTAGATCTTAAGAGCTCTTATTTGGTATAGTTGTGAAAATAGTGGATAGGGAATGTGGTGTCAATAATTTGATTTTATTAGCGAAATTTTATTTATATAAACACCGTTTCTTCAAGTATAAACCATTCATAGCCCAATGAAAGAATGACGTTAAAATCTAATAAAAAAATCAGCATTTGAAAAAAAAAAAAGGTAAATTTCTTTACTACTTTAGATAAACCTAATCTTGTTAAATGCCCTGTCATTTATTATACCTTATATCATGTTCCTCCTTTCTTCATGTTTACTATGTTATGATTTCTCTGAATGTTTGGAAAAGCTTAATATAAATAAAGCCAAATTCTTTGCAGCACATTAGGAGTTTAGCAGTTTATTTTTTTATTTAGTTTTTTTTTTTTTTTATGTTACAAAATTTTTTTTCACAATAAATATCTTTTTTTATCTGGTTCGATCACATTAGACCAGACATTCTTTTAAGAAGTGCGCTCTGCTCCTGAGGGTTCATGGCCTCATAGGCGTCCAGCTCCATGGAAAAAGTGGCGTTTCCAGAGGTCACAGTTCGCAGGACGGTGGAGTAACCCTTCAATGTGTGAAAAGATGAATTAATAAATCAATTTCAGAGAAATCTTACAGATTATTTATTATTCAGAAGATGTTAAATCTCACCATCATTTCAGCCAGGGGCACGGTGGCCAGCAGCACCTTGTTGTCGTGACGAGTCTGGATGTCTCTCACTGTCCCCCGTCTTTGGGCCAAGTCCCCCAACACGGAGCTGAGGTGCTCCTCTCCAAGGGTCACCTCCAGGGACATGACGGGCTCCAGGACCTGTCCTCCTGCCAGCCTCAGGGCCTGCGTCCCACAGTGAGGCTGTTAACAGGGCTGCAGGCAGTGGTACTAACATGAGAAAATGAACTGGGTTTACCTTCAACATGCAGCGGGACACACAGGCGGACACCATGGCCGGCGACGTCCCCGGTTCCACAGAAATGCTATGGATCAGAGTGGATACGCCTTTCATGGGGTAACCCAACAGCGGGCCTGCAGAAGGAAGCACAGATTTGGCCCTCAGCATAAAGTAATGTAGATGGAGAACATTCCTCTCAGAAAGACAACTTGATGTCCAGAGTTAGACGACAATTAAGGCCGTTTCTGCTCAGGGGGAAACATTCTTTAAAGCCACTTTTACCTTGCAGATATGAGCTCTGTACTCCGTTCTCCACAGCCTCTTTTATTTCTGCTGAGATCTGCTCTTGTAGTTCTTCTGTAAATGCTACTTCACACGAGGCCATGTCCACTGGTCTGACGGTCAGATTCACTGATGCAGCATGCCTTCTGCTCCCCACGGTTCGGTCCAGTGTGTCTAAAAGAGCCAAAACGCAGAGCAGCTCATGCATTAGCCTTTAAGAACCGACCAGAGAACACAGCCAGACATGGGAAGCCATACCTGTAGTTGAGACCTGTTGAAGAATAGTTTCTCTGTAGGCCACCTGCAGTGGCCCCAGCTGCGTTTCAATGCCGTATTCTCGTCTGATTCGATCATGGAGTACCTCGATGTGCAGCTCCCCCATCCCACACAGGACAGTCTGAGGACCCGAAGAACAGGAGCTTCAATCAACTCACTGCCGGAAGCGAAGCCTTAGCTGAACCAAAAAGCGTCTTACCTGACCAGAATCAGGGTCAACTCGGACTTTCAGGCTGGGATCTTCTCTCTGCAGGCAGTTTAGCGCAAACTCCAGATCTTTTAGTAATCAAAGCAAAAAGTTTTGGACACTTTAAATAACTGGGGTGCATATAAACACCAAGGAGTCATGTTTAGTCAATATGATAATCTACACCGTTATTTAACAAAATTGCTGGCAGGTACCGGAAGTTTATTTGAAGCCTTTCAAAGTAAAATAAAAGCTAGTACACTGGAAATATTTTACATACATGTTTATTTCCTTAAAAGGGGAAGAAATGGGGAGTGGCGGCCGAGAGGTTAGATTTTTGCGCTTGGGTCACAGAGATTCTGAGTTCAAGCCCAACACACCCCCACAGACTGCCACTCTGGGTCCCTGAGAAAGACCCTTAATCCAACACTGCTCCCCGGGCGCCGCACAATGGCAGCCCAAATTTCACCATTGTGGGACAATAAAGGATTTACATTTAAAATCTGGGATTAAATACATGCTTCGAATAAAACGCCCAAAATAAACTTCCGGTCCTGACAGTGCAGGTCTGTGCAACCAAGTGCAACATTAGTGCATTGTGCAGGTCTGCAATGAAGGGTCCTGACAGTGCAGGTCTGTGCAACCAAGTGCAACATTAGCGCATTGTTCAGGTCTGCAATGAAGGGTCCTGACAGTGCAGGTCTGAGGCCAGACCCATCTACAGGTGCTGGTCATAAAATTAGAATATCATGAAAAAATAGATTGATTTCAGTAATTCCATTTAAAAAGTGAAACTTGTATATTATATTCATACATTACATACAAACTCATATATTTCAGATGTTTTTGTTTAATTTTGATGATTACAAATGACAACAAATGAAAATCTCAAATTCATCATATCAGAAAATTAGAATATTACTGAAGACCAATAAAAACAAAGGATTTATAGAAATGTTGGCCAACTGAAAAGTATGAACATGAAAAGTATGAGCATGTACAGCACTCAGTATTTAGTTGGGTCTCCTTTGGCCTGTATTACTGCAGCAATGCGGCGTGGCATGGAGTCGATCAGTCTGTGGCACTGCTCAGGTGT